AGAGAGAGAGAGAGACAGATGTGAGGAAAAAACGTCGCTTCTCCTTCTATCTTGTACTTTCAGAAACGTGCCTGTATGTGGGCGGTTTAATAGTCGCTAAGACGAAAGGTGTCGAGATAAGAATTTAGGACGCGAGATCTACTTTCTATTTGTATGCTTCTAGAGACGAGAGGCACGTAGCCACCCGTGTACCGATTGTCTTTAATGTTAATGACAGATTAATTCGTTCGCAGCTGATTAGTTCACTCGCTATCCCGAAGTTATGATTGATATCGCGAGCTAATACGACGCACATGAGATACAAATACACACAAACACACACACACACACACACACACAACATATACACACAGATCTGTACATACACCTGTACGATTAATTAAGTATGAGGTTTTAGAGAAATTAAGTCAAATCTGACCGGCGAGAACTTGGTTACGAGTGCGTAATGTCACGCGCAGACACACTCTCTTCTTTATTTTTGTCATGTCGATACTTGGCCGATAATAAAAATGCATACTAGACGAGTGAAGGAATCGTGTCTGTCACCCCTGCCTTTTACCCCTCACGATATTTATTCGTACCGCTTTAACAGCGGTCTGACTTCACAATTTCCTTCATTTTCCTGCGTTTTAAAATGAAATCGATGAAATCTGATCGAGCTTAATGGGTAACATAAAAGTTTTATTAATAATAAAAGAATAATAAAGACTTTATTAAGTATATTGTAAGTGGTCTGTAATGGCAGTTTATCTTATCTTTTATCGCTGATAAAAATCTTATATATCGATGCTAAAACTCCGGCTTCTCCGTTGCTTTATTTCTACTCAGACATTTTCCGAATTATTCACAGACAGAATAGCTTTATTGGCAAATTTAAAAGTTCAGCCAGATGCAGATCTGAAAATAATTTTGTTGTACCGACATCATAATTATTATATACGTTCAAATTGGCTGTCAGACTAAAAATTTTTGCGATATTATTATGATTAATTTGAGCAATCCTAATCCTAATAATAATTTTGATGATGCAACAGATTTATTTTCAGATCCGCATTCAGCCTAAATTTTTTTTTAGATTTGCCCGAAGAACCGCGTTTCTCTCCGCGTTCGACCATTATTTGTGAACGTAAAATTTATTTATTATAACGTGAAATCGGTGCTATTGAAAATTAATTAATTACTCGACAGATAAACAAGACGGACGGTAGTTAGCGAAAGAGTTATTGGAATAAGTAGCGGAAGAGAAATTACAACCCTCCTTTCTCTATTGCGTGATAAAGAAAAAGAACGACCCATAACGAGAGCCATTTTCAAGCAGTGCTTCCAATATGTCCAGGATGGAAACGACCATAGCGCTCTAATCGAGCTTGTCCTACTTTCTCTCACCTTCTTTTGATACCTTTTGTACTGTAAATGTTACTGCCGTAATAAAAAGTTACGTACGATGTCGCGGAAACAGACGCGTTAAAAGACAATCGTATCTTCGCGCGAGATCATCCCGTTAATTGATCAATTAAGAAAACAATTAATAATAAATGGGCGAGAATAGACCGGCAACAATTTCATTACTCGGAAATAAATGTTACGTGAGAAATCGTGTGCTCTGGAAATTAACTTAATTATAATTAATATTTTAATTATAATTATGCATTTCTAATCATTCTCTTGCTATAGTTTGAATTATAAAGCGCAAAATGAAATTAAAATAAATCGTCGAAATTGGAGTTCGCGGAGACGATTGGAAGGTATAATTATCGCTGTGTGAAATCGCGTATTACTCTAATTTTCTGTGAAGAGAGACGACGAATTTGTCAACCCTCGAGGACGGGGAAAATCAACGTGAAGACAAAGATTGGCCTAATTAGAAGTTCATGAATTCAAACGGCCAATAACTACGCGGCGTTCGTTAACTGTACGGTTTACCCCAGTTTTCGGTTGCGAATGCGAATAAAATAAACTGGTCGCGTTGCAACTAGCCGCGATGCGTTCATCCTTGAATTATTCGCGCGGCTCGCTTTTTGCGCGACTTCCGATGAGTGGCAATTAAAAATTCCGAGAAGCGCGCATTTCCGCTCCGTACTTTTGTTTCGCGTATTATTATCGTCGCCATTAATTAAAGCCGATCAAACGCGCAACACGAAACAACCGCGCGAGAATTTACGATAATTATTCCCCGCTGAACGAGAGATCAGCGATTCATCAAACGCCGAACGGTCAAGATTATCGACGAATATCGTGCGCGCGTGCGAATTTTCGTTCCGCGTGGTCGCGGAGACGCGGGATTACATGGCGATCAAATTAAAAGTACTTCTCGGGCTCTTTCAGTCTTCAGTAGTGGAGAGTTCAATTTCACGCGAAAACACGAATACGTTATGCGCGACTCTCGCGCGCATCCCCGCCGCCAATGAAGCGATCCCGCCGCGCGTGTGACCCCCTTTCTCATCAGCCGACCCCTCCCCGCCGGCGACTGATACAGAAAGCTATTGCAACAAATTGGATTTTAATTTAACTCGGTTACAAACATGTTCGCGCGCACACGTGGCGCGGATTGGATCGCCGCCAGATAATCGAGAGCTTAAATGGAGTTCGAATGGAAAACCGATTGTTCTTTGCGGACCACACACACACACACACACACACATACGCACGTACGCACACACACGCGCGCGCGCGCGCGCATACACACACACACACACACACACGCACGCACGACGGGCAAGGGATCCTCGTCTTGACCGCCGCCGTCAGCCGTTCCG